ACAATTATAATTATAACTACAACACCTCAAACAATCCCAACACCCCCTAAGTTACTTTTCTTTTAGGTTATATTATGAAATTATGAAGGTACGGTCAAAGGTTTAACTTCAATGGATGATCTTCATATTATCATTTCTAGTATAAGTTCTCAAAATTAAGATAAAAAAAAAGGGTTCCCAAATTCCTATTTAATTACTAAAATGATACACTTACAATATCATATAATATTATAAATTTACAATATAATATATTCATTGATTCTTTTCACTCAATTCACATATCATCATTGTTAGTTTACAGTTCTATCTGATATTATAAATATAGAATTACCGAATAAACTAAACATATTATGGAAATTGAACTTTTGCAGGGCTTGGTTGGTATATATAAGTGGTTGAAGCTATGAATATCAGGGAAATAAATTTACAATATAATATATTTGTTGATTCTTTTCACTCAATTCATATATCATCATTGTCAGTTTACAATTCTATCTGATATTGTAAATATAGAATTGCCGAATAAACTAAACAGATTATGGAAAATTGAACTTTTGCAGGGCTTGATTGGTATATATAAGTGGTTGAAGCTATGAATATCAGGGAAATAAATTTGTGAGGTTAGCCTCTTTAAGCATTAATTTTAAGTTCTATTTAATTGCGCTGAAGTTTAAATACTAAACTTTTATTTTTTTTCTTGGCTAAATTTTTCATTTGGCAACTTCTAATCATCGCATCAGTTGTGAAATTAAATGTTTTGCTTTCTGGAATTCTTTTCTTCCACCTAGGTTTGAATCAGATAAATCTTTAACTGAGCGTTATGCTGATGTAATTTTTCCGACGAAAGTTAGAAACTCACTGGCTTCTGTCATGGAAAGTGTCCGGCGAGGGGTTGAGATGGGTTCTGAAAGGATCAAAAGCTTCAGAAAACCTACGAACTTACAGTCTCCTCGTAACACGGCAGAAAAAGATTCAGGTTCTTGGAAGAAAATTCTTAATCCACAGGGATCTTTCCTTGAAAACTGGAACAAAATATTTCTCCTAGCCTGTATAATTGCTTTGGCACTGGACCCTCTTTTCTTCTACATCCCAGTGGTTGTGAATGAGGAAGCGCTAAAATGCCTCGACCTGGATGTACATCTGGAAAAAATTGCGTGTGTCCTTCGTACATTCATGGATGCCTTCTATATAATTCACATGATCTTTCAATTCCGAACTGGGTTCGTTGCCGCTCCTTCTAGAGTCTTTGGTAGGGGTGACTTGATTGTTGATCCTTGGGCTATTGCAAAGAGGTACTTGTTCACATACTTCATCATCGACGTCCTGTCAACTCTTCCGCTTCCACAGGTTTGTTGCTTCTCTGTAGTAAGTTCCAATTAAGTTCTCCAATATCATCAAAGAAAAGATTGCAACTTAACAATTCCTGTTACTTTGTGTTCTCTCTCAGCTTGTAATTTTGCTTGTCAACCGTTCATTGGAAGACCAGTGGCAGGTTACATTAGTAACAAAGGAGTTGTTGAAATACATTATTATCTGTCAATATGTACCGAGAATTCTTCGAATTGTTCCCCTTTATATAGAAGTCACACGAACTTCAGGCATTATCACTGAAACTGCCTGGGCTGGAGCTGCTCTAAATCTGTTCCTCTACATGCTAGCTAGCCATGTAAGTGTGCGTGTGTATGTGTGTGTGTGTGTGTGTTTTTTTTTTTTTCAAAGGGATAGTTTGGATTTCCTTAAGCTTAAATAAACCTTTCAATTCCAGGTTCTTGGGGCCATCTGGTACATGATTTCAGTAGAAAGACAAGAGCGGTGTTGGGGTGATGTGACTAGGGAATCTGGTTATAACCGTAGTCTTTTCTACTGTGATTATTACAAAGACAAACCATCAAACTCTACTTTGCTAAGTCTCCTGAAAACTTACTGCCCTTTGACCAATCCTGATAATATTACAGATTCAAAAGTCTTCGATTTTGGAATATTCATTGATGCACTCGAGTCAGAGATTGTGGAAACTAAGTCTTGCCGTAAAAAATTCTTTTACTGCTTCTGGTGGGGTTTGCGTAATCTCAGGTTTGTTTATCACAATCTCCTTATTGATTATTGAATTACTCAAAAATTAATGGTTTCTTTATTCATTCTCAGCTCTGTAGGGCAGAATCTGAAAACAAGCACTTTTGTTGGGGAGATTGTCTTTGCTGTTGTCATTTCCGTTGCTGGACTGGTTTTTTTTGCATTACTTATTGGCAACATGCAGGTATTTCTTGATGCTTTTCATCTTCCAACTTTTATTTTTAGTGAATATGTCTAAAGATTGTTTCTCTTGCTCTTATAGAAATATCTGCAGTCAACAGGAGTAAGGGTTGAAGAAATGAGAGTGAAAAGAACAGATGCAGAGCAATGGATGAAACATAGAATGCTACCGGAGAACCTAAGGGAAAGAATCCGGCGGTATCAACAGTATAAATGGCAACAAACCAGAGGGGTTGAAGAAGAGAGTCTAATTAGTTGCCTTCCAAGAGATCTCAGGCGAGACATAAAGCATCATCTTTGCTTGGATTTGCTCATGAGAGTAAGAACTTTCCTCAAAGCATCACATCTCTGTAAGTTCATACCCAGCATAAGATCAACGCTAATATTCTTTATTCAGGTTCCCATGTTTGAGAAAATGGATGAGCAGCTGTTAGATGCAATGTGTGATCGTCTCAAACCGGTGCTTTACACTGAAAAAAGCTACATTGAAAGGGAGGGGGATCCGGTGGAGGAGATGCTGTTTATAATACGAGGAAATTTGGTCAGCACCACCACCAACGGTGGAATAACTGGCTTCTTCAATGCTGTTAATCTGAAAGCCGGTGACTTTTGTGAAGAAGCACTTCTTACTTGGGCCTTGGATCCTCAGTCCTCCTCTCATCTACCCATCTCCACCAGAACCGTACAGGCTTTGTCCGAAGTCGAGGCTTTGCTCTGTTAGCTGACGACCTCAAGTTCATCGCCTACCAGTACCGGTGTCTCCATAGCAAACAGCTCCAGCACATTTTCAGATTCTACTCCGTGCAGTGGAAGACATGGGCGGCCAGCTTCATACAGGCAGCCTGGCGGCGGTACTGCAGGAGGAAGTTTCTTAAATTGTTACGGGAAGAGGAAGCTAGGCTGCAGAATGCTCTGGCTGATGACTCCGGCGTGAGCGTTGATACCTCGATTTACGTGTCGAGATTTGCAGCCAATGCGTTACGAAACTTGCGACAGGATGAGGCTCCGACCCCCAGAATACCGGAGTGACTGCCGCCGCAGCCTCAGAAGCAGGCCGAGCCTGATTTTACTGCTGATCAAGGCCACTAAATGCTAATTCTCTGTTTTTTCTATTTTCTGTTTCATATATGCTTGAATAAATTTGGAAGAATCTGTATAATGTTCTGGTTAGTTTAATGGCCATGGTATTATTGTATAACGTTTGGTTTCAAGGTAAGACATGAGTTAGAGCTATTTAACATATTCCTGGAAAATTCTTACCAAAATCAGAAATGGTTAAAATATGAATTTTTATTGCAAGAGTTGGTTTTATGGTTGTTTAGTGCCCTATATCATTTTCATCATTATTCAGTTCTGGTTATTCAGTGCAGTTAACAATTTGCCAATGGGATACCCTGTGCTGCAACAGCCTTCAGTTCCTGCTCCTGGTCAACCACATCTTGATCCTATGGGAAGTGGAATATCTAGCTGTCATGTTGTCAATGGAGTCCCTGCACCAGGCAATTTCCAACCTATGCAAATGAATTCTGGGAACGAGTGAGGACTTGACCTTTTTTCATTCTCCTAATTGATTGCACATTGAATCTCCTCCATTCAGTTATACAATTGTGAAGGCCCCTTTTGCATCAAGCCATCTGTTTATTTATTTCAATTTGATCATATGCAGTTGCTTAATGAACAATTTGGTGGCCCCAAAGTCCTTCTCCCTCTTAACTTACTTATATAACATCTCTGGTTATATTGAGGTTATGGCACTGCAATAGAACTCCATCCAACTCAGTTAATCCAAAACCAGTTGGGGAATTGGGGTTAGCTAAAAATTTCATTTTCCTCTCAGTTTGTTTTAGGGCCATGATCCTTAGATACCTAGTATTCTCTCTGTTGTTTCTACTTCATTCTATTTGATTTTTGCATTTATCTTGTTCTGGCTTTCTAAGCTCCTCTTTGATTTTTTTTTTCTTTGGTTTCAAAGAAGTTAAGCTGATAATAGCTGCTTTTCTTCTTATTGTGGCTTGGTGATGGACAACAATACAAGTGATGTAGCCCATTCTATTCCCCCTGGCACTGCCATATCATCTATGTCAGGTATACCTGTCAGTGCCACCTCAGCAGCATCGGGCGGCCATTTTCCATTCACTGCATCAGACATATCAGGGATGGGAGTAGATACATCTGCACTTGATACAGCCTCTACAACTGACGTGACAAGTTCAGTAGGATCACAGCTTGGACCTGATGGTGGGGCTGGAAATTCTAGAGATTCCCTTAGATCACTAGATCAGATTCAGGGGAATTTTAGCCTTACAGATTTAACAGCTGATCTGTCAAACGTGGGAGGTAAGAATTCTGTTGTTATTGCAAGGAATCATTCAGGACAGTTTTTGCTGCTTTCATGCATTCAAGCAGTGCAATATTCTAGTTTCATGGATAGATGTGCTTCTGCTAAATCTGGGTGAGGAAAAGAGTTTTTTTTTTTTTGGATTGGCCAATAGGTAAGGAAAAGGTTATAACTCTTAATGGCATTTATAAATTTAGTACTAATGTTTTAGTCTTGGGTTCTAATTAATGCTGTTTCACTAAGCATTACCTGCTTTCACTTGGTTGGCCGAAAAAAAAAAGGCACTACCTGCTTTCACTTGGTAGGCCAAAA